CAGACTTAGAGCTCTTTAAAGGTTAAGCTGTTACTTGGTACTATTATTTCTGTTTTTCCTATCTTTATCTTCTTTGTAACCATTTTTAAAATCTATATTTTGCTAGCAGTTAAGAAATAGAACAATAGCCATTGCAACCATATGATTTATAAGCTCTCTCTGTAAACTCATTGGGCGCCCGTCAACCTCCTCCAGGTTGCCCGCTGCAAGGGACCCCGGTCCCAGCAGTTGAAGTCTCGGGTGTATGCACACCACTCACTGCCCTGACCGTCGGCTGACACCCAAACAACCAACCTTGGAGGGAGGAGGAAATGAGACAGCTTTGTGAGGCTGTGAGGACTCCCAACTGGGACAAGAGTGAAACCTACTGGTCTAGCTTCTGATGCTTTCATGTGCACGTTGTTGTACAGCAAGTCTGTGTAAGAAGTAAAACCTAGTTCCACACACCTCTGAATGCTGAAGTATGCACAATCATTGATCCATAGCAGGTGGTTGCAGAGCCATCTCTAGTTACAAAAAATGTTTCCAGCACTGTTCAGTTTGCTCCTTCCCAGATTGTTAGAGCAGGCAGGGCAGCCAAGTCAGATGCTGGCGTTCTGGTGGATCATTGGGGGATTAAGAGTATTAGTGACCGCAGTCTGGGGTGGGAGCATACTGAAGGAAGAGGGTAGATTTAAGCAGCTAAACTTCAGTTATTTAATTGAACCTCCCACCTTTTCATTAGCTTCTATTTTCCTGATGTTGTGTCTTTTGTTTACAATCAATAGGCCGCAAAAAGCCATGTAGCCAAGGGTTAAATTGCCTCCAGAAGGAAAGCAGAGAGCACAAATGCTGCACTGGCTGAGCTGTGGTAGCACAACACGTATTCTATGATCCCTGCAGTGTAAGCATGCAGAGAGCTACCCACTCATTCGTGGTAGCCGGCGCAGCTGTGCAGTAGCACCTTCCAGCTGGCTCTAAGCCTTCCCCTAGAAGTCTCAAAAGGCTAAATCCTAAACAGGTTTCCATGCCTGCTTCAGGCCAAAAATACTCAGAGGCACTGATGCATTTCCACTGTGCTGGAGGGCCTAGCAGCACCGAGTCCCTCTCCTCCCCAATGCACTGTGGAGCAGACATCTGGGGCAATCCTGGACAACATGGGGGAAGGGCATGGAGAATGGGGCAAAAGGGTTCATGCACAGAAGACCAAAGCCTGGGAATCAGCACACAGGGGAATAGTGGGACATTGGTTAGCACTATGCCAGGTGGAATGTATCCTCCCCTCAGGCTAGGGAGTGGTTGAGGCTGCAGTAACCCCTGTGCTGATTGTAACACTGCTTCTGAAGAGCCAATGATTCATGAATCCATTAGTGAGAGATTCCCTGTCTGCAGCCCTTATCACCCCTTTTCTGCCCTTCATGCAGTTGCTTATGGGACTGCTGAGGAGTTGTGTTCCCCAGGATGAGCCTCAACCTTGCATTCTGCAATGCAGAAAAACGCAGTGCTGGCTCTGCAGGATATGGATCCACCTGCATTCCATGGAAGGAACTTGGATTTGGTTCAGAAGGAACTCACAACCCTCAAACGCAGAGGGATCCATTATCCACTGAGAGCTAGTCTGGTTCCTGCTATCCAGGCCTGGGTGCCCTAACACACACAGTTGCACTGGGCATTCCTTTCCCCACTTCTGCACTGCAGCACATTTTTCTCAGAACAAAAGCCTACAGGTTTTCATTTTTCACAGTTCAGCCCTAAGCAACTTCAGAACAACACTGAGAGTCATTTCAGAGCCTTGCTTGCTTCAAGAGGGAATGATGTCTCTATATAGTGCTGGTCAGGGTTATCAACTCTCATTAAAAAACCTGGCATGAAATTGTCAGCTCTCCTCCTGATCTAGCCTCTGTGGACAGGACAGAACAGAGTTCAGTTTAGCATTCCAGTTTAGCATCCCTGCCAAAGGATTACCCTCCTATTTATACTGCCCACCAGTGGCTGCTTTCAGTGAGAGATGAGACCACAATCTTCTGTCCCAGAGGCAAAAGGGCAGCCATGATGACACTTATGGTGATAGCCATGAATTCATGTTAAAAGCACCCATGTGATAGGCTCAGAATGACAAGCCAGCCTTTTGAGTTTACTTTCAAGTGCTTATCTATCGGCAGGATTAGAAGCTTGTGAGCTCTTAGCTGTGAGCTTTGCAGATGTTTGGGAGTGGAGGCTAAAGCTACAGGCATGTGAAAAGTTGGTCAGTTTGGACTCTCTCATGCAGTCAGATTACTTTTTCTCACAACAAAGTGCTTCTTCCAAACGCTAAATCCAAAGCACAGCATGGGCACGAGACTAGCGAATTGTTTACGTAGCTCACTGTTAGCATGAGCAGCTGTCTTGGTTATTTTGAGTCTCAGGTTATAAACTGAGCTTCGAAGCGACACTAGCTTTCACAGTTAAAATCAGAGCAACCTACCTTACAATACCGAGTGGTATAGGAAGCAATATGAGATAATCCTGATT